CTCTTATGAATTCAGAGATTCAGATACCTGAAGATAGGCCAAATGTCCTACATCGATGAAGCACGACAATTAGCCTAATGCCTTGTTTATGCGACCGCATGACGCATTACGATCACTCTACGAATTGTCTGGCCTTTGTACTTGTGTGCTGGCCTTGAACCACGATTATGTCCACCAGGTGGGAAGTTTCGGAACGCTACATTAGCTTTAATGAATGTTTCTGCTATCGAATTGGAAGTCTCGAAGTGCTACAAATGTATCTAATTAGATTAATTAGGGCTAATTTATCTAAAAGTAAACAACTATAAATGATGTTCAAAGACCAATAAGCCGTAGCTCTCATCCAAACTTAAATGATTCACGTCCTTTGTAATGGTAATAAAAAATTGCAAATGCTTCATTACCACGTAGTTTGTTGCTGTCTTTGATATATGCTGACCAAGTGGATAATGCGACTTCTAAAATTATGCTTCCCTTCAATCCATGACAAGGCATGTCGTTTCTTTAATCAAAAATTAGCGTTAGTTTAGGCGCGTGTTGGGAGCGCTTAATTTAAAGGTTGCAAATTCACAGAACTTCTCGTTTCGTAGGTTCTGTAATCATTATTGTTGACTCCTGAAAGTGACAAAATTGCTAAGCTCCTGCTAGATGGTGATTGCTGAACGGTCTTTTATGCTTTAGCCTCGTGTTTTGTGGGGTTCCTTATCACGGTTTTGCCGTGCATTTTGTGCATTGAGCAACGGATTCTTTCGGTACTTAAATTCCTTTCTTTGCAGCAGGTGAAGGAAAAATCATTTATGACATCTTCCCAAGAATCTTCAAACTTGAGTATAGACGTCCCATGGATTGAAAAGTACCGTCCGCTTCACCTATCTGATATTGTTGGAAATGAAGCTACGATTCAGCGTCTCGAATCTTTTTCTCATACCGGCAATGTCCCTCACATAATCATCGCAGGTCCACCCGGCTGCGGCAAAACTACCAGCATTCTCTGCTTGGCTCGTGCTCTTCTTGGCGATGCTTATAAAGATGCTGTTCTTGAACTCAATGCTTCCAATGACCGTGGCATCGATGTCGTTCGTAGTAGGATCAAGATGTTTGCTCAAAAAAAGGTTACGCTTCCTCCAGGACGCCAAAAATTCGTCATTCTCGACGAAGCCGATAGGTTAGGCGTGTTTTATCACCTTGCCACATTCATTCATGCACTCTCAAATAGATATGGCCATTTTATCTTATCGCTTAAACATAGCCACCTTAGAGCTGATCGAGAAAGGGCTGCTACCGTATCCGCATATTGCGGCGCTAGCCTTTTGAGCTCAGTGGCTACCAATTTCTTTAACTGCATGAAAATATTGAACACTTGTTTTCATACGAATGAAAAGCATGACAGACGGTGCTCAGCAAGCCCTGCGTCGTACGATGGAGATTTATTCGAAAACCACCCGCTTCGCATTAGCATGCAATGATTCCTCCAAGCTGATTGAACCCATCCAGTCACGGTGTGCTGTACTGCGCTATGCGAAACTTACCTCGGTCCAACTAATGTCCCGGCTTCTACAGGTTGCAAAGGCGGAAGGGATCAGTTACACTGAGGAGGGACTAGAGGCTGTCGTCTTTACTGCTGAGGGTGACATGCGACAGGTATGCTGATGGTCTTTGTGTCTAAGCTCTACAAATGTCTTGAAAGATTCATACCTATAGATATGGTAATCTTGAGACCATCAGATCCAAATCTTTAATATAATTTTTTCTTTAATGAACTGACCGTACATAAATCTGACTCGTTCACGCTATCTGGTCAGGTTGTCATTTCACACACAGCCACATTGAGGTGTTTGCTCACTTTTAGCATAAATACTGCCTTCCGCTTTTACATTGCAGGCACTTAACAACCTACAGTCAACTTACCAAGGATTTGGTATGGTTACCAGTGAGAATGTTTTCAAGGTACTTAATTAGCATGCCCAAAAGTAGCGCCAGTGAATTATGAAGACAACCACATTCTTTTTATTAGCTAATTTCTTTACCCATCCTTCGGACTATGGTTAGACCGTTAACTATGCTTTAATCCGATAGAATCAAGTCTACCGCATTAATTGTACGTTGCTCGACTAAGACGTTTCAATTTTGCAATTTCAGGTGTGTGACGAGCCTCATCCGCTGCTAGTGCAGAACATGATTGAACTTTGCTTAAAAAGTAAATTTTCTGACGCCTACACTGTTCTGAAGCATCTTTGGGACTTGGGGTATTCTGCTGAAGACATATTCTCAATGCTCTTTCGCATTGTAAAAAACCACCAGATGGATGAGTACTTGAAATTGGAGTACATAAAGGTCTGAGTATGCTCCATCTCCCTCTATTTTGACATCGCCTTTATATGTCTTTCAATTACAGGAAGTTGGTCTTACTCACCTCAGAATCGCCGAAGGTCTGGGAACGCTTCTTCAACTCAGCGGTTTGCTGGCCCGACTGTGCAAAATTACCAGCCACGAAGAAAAATAAGGTTACATCGTGTTGTCTTATTTTTACTCAATTTGAAAAATTCGCTGTACATTATTTCATCTCAAGCCAATAACACCGCCGGACCTAAATTTCACACCTTCAATTCCACGGGAACTGTAGGGACTGTTAATAACAAAGCGTTTCTCAGGACTAATGGGTTGGAAACCAGCACCGCTTGTGTGCCGAGGGGAAACTCTTGTAAAAGGAGAACGAAATGATGAGACAGTAAATCCAAGGCCAGATCTGTTCGTCGAAACCGAACCATCCTCCGAAGTAATTGGTTCCAGCAAACCTCTTCGCTTTGGGTCCCCAAGACGAGTACCTCTGCGCCAACCTTGATTTTGCATTATCTTAGCCCCATACGCCTATACGGAAAAAAATTAGTTAGGTATGGTCACTCATTCTTGCAGCAGAAGCTTATGTATGCGTACGGATAAGAATGGTTTCACGCATTCCTCAATCGGGTCGTCAAGGATTTGACTAAGTTGTTTGCTGTCGAGATCCGGCCCACCGGGTCCCGCGAAGCTCAGTCCCTCATCGTCGCTATACTGGTGAAGGTTGATATCCCAGTCAAAAGAGGAAGGTTCGTCGAAGAATTCGTCCCTCCGTACACTTTCACGCTCCCTCCAGAACATCTCGTCTGTGTAATGCACCAGACCGGGTCCACCTTTCTCCCACTTCAGCTTAATTCTGCTCTCGTACTTCAGGGAATGCTTACTGCTCCTGTCGACATCGTAAGGATCATTGTGGAGGGCTTCGAAACGATCCCACTCTTCAGCGATTTGGTCTACATCCACAGGATTCGAGAGGACCAATCCACTTTGAGTTTTAAGATCTTCTACATCGATTGCATCTTTCATGTTCGTAATTGGGCCAAGTGTTGGTTCGTTGTCAGGATAAACGTATGGAACGGTTCCATACTTTCGATTGCTTCTCAAACAAGAGAAGTCGAGCTTCAGTCCTCGAATGATGTCTGAACCCAATCTGCACGACCGGATAAGTGAGATAAAGTGTGATATGGGAGTTCCGACGTTACCCTGTGGCATCCAGGAAGGTGGCGAGAATTCGCAAAGCTCTAAAAAACCAACATTGTTACAACTATAAGGTCAGAGGATTTGGTAAAAGGAGTCAGGATGCTACTCACTTTTGAGGGTCTCTAGAAGTGGCACTGCATGTCTCACGCGGTGTAGCTTACAAGGCGCGAAATTACCACACTTAGCGTCAGTGTACCAGGAGTCCTCGAGGGTATTCAAGATCTTCTGCGTGTTATCGGGTTTGATAGCTATCAGTGCAGTGCAGTTAATAGTCCTTCTTGATCGGTGACGCCTTAAAATACGTAGGAGCATCTTTGCGCTGATGCTGCTGTGCGGAGCAAGGGTAATGTGCGATGAAGCCGGTCGGTGACGGTAATGAAAACATTCGAATGCTCCGGCTTCAATGTGCTGAGAAAATATACGCCTCAGGTCAGCCGTTTTAAGCGACGTTGGGATATCTGTGATGAAAAAAATGTCTTGATTGTTCAAAGCCATCATCAAGCGCAGGGATCCAAGCTGATTGAATTGGACCGGATAAACCGCCTCCAGATTAGTTGATACAAATGCACAATAGGAGCAAAGAGTGGTAATGCCATTGCTGCGGCTTTGATGGGGCTAACGACGAATGCCAATGTCGAGTTTTTTAAATGTAAAGTGAGTTGCACTTGCAGATATAAAAATAAACAAGTTGTGTTCGCAATTTTGTTTAGCCCTTGATTATAGCAAAACCAAATAAAACTACACCACATTAAATGACGTCTTCAACTAGGAAGGGCTTGTAGGAGGTCCAAAACTAAGGCTCGCAACCCTCATTATATGACGCTTTATCACTTTCGATGTACTTCAGACCAAACTATAACCCAATTCGTTCCATTTCCCCTAGTTACAAAGAAAAATTTTGTGCCCTGTGTAATATTTACTAAATTGTTTGAGTTGACCTTTATAAGACGGAAGAGAGGACAAATTCAAAACGCGAATCTCATGCGTAGGAACCGTGTGGAATCCCTTTTCGAGTGGCATATTCTATCCGTCACGTTTGTACTCCTATGCCATTCTTCCTGTAATCAGTGCTTAATAAATCTGACACATCTTGTAGTTACCGCCCGTCTACCTTTTGGTCCTTGGTTCTCAGACTTTAAGAGGAAGTTGGTTGTAGACGGTTTATTAGGCATCTCTGTAAGAAGGATGGGGGAATAAAATGCAGATGCGGCGAGCAGGAGATGTCAATCGCAGGGAGGCTCCTCGTCGACCTCGCGCACGTGATCTACGTTTCCAGTTGCTTTCCGCCTCTCTCCTATAAAAGTCCACTTAGACAAAATGGAATATATTACACATCTAACCCTCTCTTTAACTTTGTGATTTAAGGGCATGAGGGTAGGCGAGTTGTTCCTACACGCTGTGCTTCCTTTTATTGAAGACTGAGATATAGTTCAACCCACTATTGACAAGCGAAATTCGGTTCAATTTTGTCAACCTTCGTTTCAAAGCCTAATGTCCAATTTCTAGAGTGTTGATGCAGTGCAGTGATGCAGTG